CTAAGTTCCCCAAAACTCCGCGCCCGAGTAGGATGGAACCCCCTGCTCAAGGTCCTCGCTACCCACCGTATGTACCTGCAAAGATCCATCCATTGNACATACATCAGGCATGTACACTCCCTCTCATCCAGAGGATCTGGAAATCCCGCATGTCCAATCACAGGTATATCAGCCTCCATATCCCTGATTTTTCCTTGGTGGAATTGCACATCATCCAGCCTGCTGCAGACCTGGAGGAAGTGCAACAGGCAGTGGCCAACCTGCCGAAACAGGAGCTCATTCCGGAGACACCTGTAGTCTCCATGACTGATCCTGCTCCTCAGGACGTGTCAACTCTGAATGGGGCCCTAGAAAACCCTGATCTCATCGCATGGCTGAATAATAATTCTAAGAATGTGTTACCATCAAGCCCTGTGTCAGAAGTGGACACCATCGATTTAAACCCCCCATCACCAAGCTACAGCCCAACCATGCCTGATTATACCCAGACACCAGAACAGGAAGTCAGAGAGACACCAGCTGCGCATGAGGTGGTTCACCCACCTCATCAGGTCCCCAGCGACCTACTGACCCTGTCCCCTGGCCCTTCGGATTTCGAACTTGAGCTGGGCGCTCCAAGACCCTCCTTGTCTGAAGTTACAGACACCCCTCATCCTAGGAAAATGGAAGAAAATCACCCCCCTACTGTGAAAGCAAGATTGGGCCCACCAGTGGAGGAGAGCAGAGAAAAAGGCCCTCCGAGGGGCCTGAACACCTCTCACAGGAAGGAAGATTCCAACACAGGGAGGAACTCATACGGAGCCTACGGAGCCGCTGTGGACAGGGCGGTGAAATCCTGGCATCAGCCCAAGGAGGAAGGGTATGATAAAAGGTACCGTCCCAACAAGATGGGGCCCCCCAAATTCCCCAAAATGCCGCGCCTGAGTCGGATGGAACCCCCTGCTCCAAGTCCTCGCTACCCACCGTATGTGCCTGCAAAGATCCATCCATTGATCCCCCCTGGGTTCCTGGCCCAAACTCCTAGGTCTGATTCCAAGGAGAGGGTGTCAAGAGGGCCTGCTGTCCAAGATGCTCATAATGCTGGAGTCAGACCTAGAGAGTTTTTCCCCCCACAGAAACGGGACCAAGAGAAGAAAAGAAAACATCATAAGAAAAACGGAGGTCAAGAGGCGAAAAGGGTGAGACGGCAGCAGGAGGAGATATAATGAGATAATGTAATCAACTTTAAAGAGTGTATCTAACCTAACCAATGATTATTATAACTGTGTTTCTTTTGAATAATGTACTGTGATTATTGATGATTTATAAACTTGTGATTTATGCTTAAAAATGTTAAGATGGTGATTAGGGCAGACAGGAGTATAAAGAATATCCTGTAAGGTCAGTTGAATGGGGGTGTGGTAGGTCATGTGCAGACAACATGAACATCATGTGAGCTGAGCATTGCTTCACTTCTAACGGTCAGGGAGTTTTCAGTTCCCTTATCTGATTTCACGCGAAGCCTTGTGCAACTGGAACTTCTCAGAAGTGTTGATATAACAGATAAAATGGACTTTTGATACCACAGAAAAAGTACCTAACTGCCCCAAGAAGAGGAAGTACTGAGGGGTTGCTTCATAGTGGAAGAGTACCGTGAAAAAACACATGACACATGATCACCCCCGGGCAGGCGGGAGACAAGCTCACAAAGGAAGATAAAAAGCCCGAACTGGACCACAGCAGAAGTCTTCGTGTTGTCGGCTGAAGGGGAAACAGCTCAAGAAGAAGCAGCAGGACTTCAAAGCAGTGACCGGATCTGAAGCTCAATTCTCTCATTTGGGCCAAAGCTGATCAACTCTCCTCAACCGAGCTCAAAAGGACCGAAGACCATAATTTGGACCAAGGCCCATCACCGAGAGAGATCTTTTCAGACAACATCCGGACCTCATGGGGGTAAAACTGACTGCTTTATCCTGCCTTCTAAAGAAATTGACAGAATATGCCACACTTCTTAATCAGGAAGATAGCTCAGCATTTTAGAGTGTTTTATTTTATTCACCATCTATTATTAATCAATCAAATACTAATCAATGTTATCAATTTGTATAATCAGTTGTGGCAATCTCTGCAAATTCTATTAAACTGCTTGCAAGCTTCATAAAGACAATTTAACTGACTGGACATTGATATTTTTGGTTGTCCTCTTTAACATTTTTTCTCTGATTACAGGAGAGTCCTGTTATTTTAAAGTAACAAGATAATTACCTATTTTATAAAAGGTGTGGTTACTTTAAAGCGATTAGTAATAAAAAGGAGGTCAGATTAAAATATAAAGTTCATTGTTATGGTATTAGCCACAGAGAGGAGATAGGATAACTCCTCTCTGTAAAAACAGTTCCCTTGAGTCCTATTTTACTGGTCCCAAAATCCCATCTCGACCACACTAAGAAGTGCACATCCTACAAGAGAGCGCTGCCCGAAGAAACGACAGTGCCCAGCAGATCTCAGGTGTTCTTGAGCTACTACGTCTGCACTGAAGCTGGGGTTCACGAAGGGAGCGACTGTCGGAAGGTGGGCAGTTGAAGGTCGAGCCCAAGGCTCTCGCATGATGCCTCGAAGAGGAGACAGGTCAGACTCAGCAGCAACAGTCACCACC